TGATTGAAATAGCAAACTGCTCAACAGATTTGGAGAGCCTGCTGGAGTTTTGAACACCAACTGTCCGGTGCTGTTCGACCCCCATTCTCCACCAACGATAAAGTGCTATACTGATAAGAGTATCCATTCTCTGTTGAACAAAAATTAAATAGTTCCCAGGATCGACTTTCTATTAACCTCGGCATTGGAATATGAATGCGTCGTTTTCTTGTTCAGCAATTGCGAGGTTTTTAAACAGCGTACATTTACTTCCATAGAGAAACACTTCCTCATCGGAAGTCACGTAAAAAAGCGGCTCTGAAGAAGGCGATACTGCCGAAACGTCAGCTAGTGTTGTATTGTATTCTAAATTTTCTGAAACACAATACAATACAACACTAGCTGACGTTTCGGCAGTATCGCCTTCTTCAGAGCCGCTTTTTTACGTGACTTCCAATGAGGAAGTGTTTCTCTATGGAAGTAAATGTACGCTGTTTAAAAACCTCGCGATTGCTGAACAAGAAAACGACGCATACAAAAGTTAAAATCAAAACAAAAAATCCATAAAAACTCAGAGGAAAATTAAAATGAAAATAAGAGGCAGAAGAAGACCTCATCTCGGATAGAAAGAAGGAGAGGAAAAGCAAATTTTACTGTTTCTGTTTTGTTGGATCTGAATTATAAAAAATTCGTGAAAAGTTAGGAGAACGTAATCATTCCGGACATCGTATCTAAAGTATTTTCTATTTAAGGCATTTTCTACTCTTCTTTTCTACTGGTCTGGATTTTACTGTCGTTACAACAGATGTAGTGAGTGGGTAGTTTGGCCAGAGAAGAACCGACAATACGCGCAGGTAATTCACGGGGAATCTAACTTTGCAAATTTAACTGCAGCACTGCAAACTTTCTATCTGAAGCTCAGATAAGGTCAACCGATATCAGGAGCCTGTGCAGATCTGAAAGTGCTCGAAAATCTTCCCGCAGCCAAAAAACACTGCTTGTGGGACGGTTACTGGCACTATATTTTATCATCGAACCAAAAAAAAAACGTAATTGCGGACCATTAAAACAACAGCTTCAGTGGCCTTCTTTAATCACAGAGATCAGCAGTGCGAATAACGCGATCGAACCAGTTCCATGGGAACAGTTTTATATTCTAAGCCTGTAGTGATTAAAAGAAAGCTCTCGGCGTTGATCAATCCCTGAGGAATGCACCATGTATTCGACTTCGTTAAGCATAGTTTGCAGGTGATTCAATGCATATCTGGCCTTTTAATGAATCGTGGTGGCCTACCGATTTATCGAGCCAATGCTACTACCCTCCTAGACAAATCTAGTACCAATTTGTCGACCCCGTAGTGATGGAAGTCTTGGTGAAGCTGGCGCGCGGTGATCGATTCTACGTATGTGTTACAAGGCGCGTCCGGCTACTGCGCCACATGCGCCCTCTAATAATTAAATAGTCTGCTTAAATACTTATTCTCCTATTGCTCTACTTGAAGTTGTATATGTTATAAAATTTCATGTGAATTGCTCCAATGAAAAGAAGCGAAGGAATACTATCCAAAATTGGTAGCCTGGCGTTTTTAAACCAACCCTCAGTTAACTTTATAATGGAAAAGCAACATCTTCGTTTATTGAAAAGCCTCTACGAGATTGTTAGAGAACTTCATTTGACATCGTTCCAGTGGTTTCGTTTTTTTTCCAGGGCTGCGGCGACTCGAATTGTACCTTCACATAGGTTGTTTCTTACAATGTTAGAGAGTTCCTAGGTGTCTTCGGCCTGAGCACGGTGCTCCATTCTAGTGGATTCGGCTCAGTGCACCTATGAAAATCTATATGACAGGAAACAACTGCTGTGGACATCTGTTTCGAATCACTACTACTTTGAAGGAAAACACGCCGAAACGCTAGGGAAGAGTTTTGCAAGTAACTTCGCGTGAGCCCGTGAATAAGGGCTGGAATAATGTTTATAATTTAACCTTTTCCATTGTTTAACGTTTTGTTTTCTGCCTTCTATAATTTTCATGGCAGGTTACTAAGCGAAATACAACCACAACGTTGCTGAGATATTTGCAAAACTCTGGACCGCAGGTGTCTATGGTGGGGAACGAACGCGCTATTATCCTTTCCGGGGAGTAACGCGTTCACCACCACACCATGCGAGTCCTTTGTTTCGCACGTCTCTCAGCTATTTCTATCGATCTTTTTGCCACAGCAATCACCCGTCAGCGGGGTTGATCTGGGGAGCGCAAATCGGCATAGAACCCAGTTAAGCTATGGCTGTAGTTGAAATCACAATGTTTAACGTTTTGTTTTCTGCCTTCTATAATTTTCATGGCAGGTTACTAAGCGAAATACACGGGTGATTGCTGTGGCAAAAAGATCGATAGAAATAGCTGAGAGACGTGCGAAACAAAGGACCCGCATGGTGTGGTGGTTAACCTTTTCCATTTTAGAAATACACAATAACAAAATGTCAGTGGTCTTAGTATCATCACACTTCCGTCCGTCGCCCTTTTTGCCTGTATATTTGAGATCCTCTCTCAAATTGAACTATCCACCGAGTTTATCCTACGTACCTTCCGGAGTATCCGTATAAAGCGTAACTTATAGAATACGCTCGATTTATCAAGGAATTCAGCCGATCGAAAAGCAGCAAAGGGCTTTTTGGGGTCATAGATTACAGGGTATATTATCTAACCTTTCTATTAACCCTAATTAACTACGAGAAGACGTCTGAGAATGTGGAAAATAGCCTGTTCTTTTCCGTCTTAATGGACCAAGGCGTAGACATGTCGGATGTAGAAAAGTTTGCTGACCGCAATAGTCATTAGGCGGCAACAATACAGCTTTTACACTGACCTCTCCTCATCCCAGCCTGCAAAAGAGCATGACAGGGGAAAAAAATTCGCCAAAGTTGTCCATTTCCGCGCCGTAGTGGTGTAAGCGGTCACGTCGCTGAAGCGATAAAAGAATACATGTTGAAAGACATTTCCTGTCCAACCTTCGTTTTTCCAAAAGAATTGTCGTCTTTTCGAATCGACACAGCAAACAGATAAAATGAAGCATTGAAAAATGCGGTGCGAAATTGATGGGAGAAAAACATAATATGTGACGAAAGTCTTTCATAAAGGATAAGAATTATCTTGTATAGATTATCGACTAGGAAAACCATATGCTATTGGTATACCTGAGATCTTTAATGAGCCTGGCGAATGATTTGAGACAAAAACTTTGTAGAAGACAGACTGACCAGCTTACTGATCCGGATCTACGTGTTCGCCTATTTAACGCAATATTTCTTCCCTTGTATACAATAGGAAAAGCAATCTATGAAATTCTTCTTAAAGAAGCAATGAACTCAACTACAAGCCGATTTTCGTATCTCAGCTCTCCGATGAATACCTCGTCTTTGAGAACGTGCAGAATATTTTCAACAAACAAGCATCAAGAAGCACTCATATTCATAATGAGGGCTAAGGACGAAAAGTGAACTAGAAGAACGTAAGAGTGGACCCAAAGAAAACTAAAACAACTTCTACCGAAATCACCAAAATGATAGGGCGAAGTTTTCATCCTAAGTATAAACCAACTTTATTCACATACGGAAACAATATCTAAATGCTCAAATACAACCGAAGCCAAGAACGAATGAATGCGCTCACCTTCTTGGATGATGATTTCAATTGAATCAAATTGATAGCAGGGGTGTGAGCCACATGATATGTGGAAATGGGTCATTTTAGCATTTAAGTGATGAAGATCCTACCACCTAACTTGGTCATCTTCCGTCTCCAATCTCAATTCCAGGAGGCTATTCTTAACAATTGCTCAATGATGAGGCTTATATGGTTTATGTTAGGGTTTGGACACAGCACACTTTCTGTTTTGCAGTTTTCATTTGGAAAGCAGATATGATTGAGAATGAAACAATGTTAGGTGGCCTTCGGTTAATCACGAAAGCAGATTGCATGTTCTGGAAATGTTTAAAAAATAAGCACTTGAAGACTTGAAGACTTGAAGCACTTGAAGCACTTGAAGACTTGAAGCAACGACGGAAAGCGTTGAAAACAAAGTGATTTACCGTCTTACCCAGTGGCGAAATGATGGGGCTCGAGCTGCAAACTCTCTTCTTGTTCCACCAGTACGTCCTGCAGAGCTGTGACGCAAGCACTGCTACTACTCTCGCTTTACTCGACCTATTCTTCTTAAAGGAACGCAGACCGACACGAAATCAATCCAAATGTCTCATTTTGTAACTTCGGTAGCCATTCATGTCTTCCTATTCACTTCACTAGTCTTCAGGTTAGTGGCAAGATTTAACAGATTGAATGGCCATCTAATGAAGAGAATTGATGGAATAAAACGACATTGCCCTTGGAATACCGTATCCGTCATAATTTTCTAATGATCTACATTTACGCAGACTGTGCACATCAAACACGACAAGGAACGAAGCAAATGCTGAATTGGAGACCTAAATGCAGTTATTCAGTCTTCTGTTTCACTCGAAATTTATTTCAAAGTCCAAAATGGGGTAGACTAAATGAGGATGATGACAATAAAAATGTAAAACTTCAAGGGCAATACTTTATCAGAAACGCTTACTGTAGTTGTTGAGGAAAATCTACACACATTCTTAACTCTTTCACGACGAAAGTGCTCTCTTCATAACTGCGTCAATTTTTTTTCTATCACCAGCACCTCACGACCAGAACACAAAAGAACAGATTTCGTGAAGAGACCTTGTTCTAGGACTATAAGGATATATTGTACACATATATGTATACGTATATATAGTATATACATATGATTCTTATAGAATAGTCCTTCACCTTCAAGTTTATTCGAAATAAAAAATTCCGAAATAAACTTAGGCGAAATTTAAGCTTTTCAAATCTCCCTCACATGCGCGGCTGCACCAAGCATCAACGGTGGCATGTCCTGCTAATCGAAACTCCTTTATTCAAATGCTTTTCTGTTAGAAATAAGCGCCCCAGAGAGGAAACGTGGAGAACTGCGCTGTTCAGCCTCCCGAGAATCAGAATCTAGTCTTTATAAGGCAAGAAACTTGTATCTTGTAAGCACGATCTGTAAATTCCAGTGTTTTCTGTCGAGATCCAACGTTCAACGTTCAACGTGAAATCAACATAACTTCTCCTAAAGTGAAAAGCTGGTACAATTTTTGTACCCTGCGCGTTGAAATCAATGCGCACCGACGCGAATCTGCTACAAGTAGAAGAATCCTCTCCAATGAAGAGTGAATTAGCTGTCATAATATCGGCTTGATACAAGTCGCAATAAATTGCCTAGATGCTCAGATTAATTCTTCTCAGGCAGTGCTGATATTCATACAGTACTTTTCCAGTATTTCCCGATACTCACGGCTCCTCTAATTGCATTGATTTCTCTGGCTTGGCTCGTTACCGACATCTTCTACACCAACACACCGTGTGCTTTGGCGTACAACTGCATGGTAACTGTTTACAAAAGAAATTCATGCTTCTTTTAATAGAATTGAAATTAAGTGTCTAACGAACAATAAATTAGCTAGATAATGTCGAAATTTATCGTTGGCCTTAAAAAAAAACCATTCCTTTTATTCTTTTTCTATGGTGGAATCTAAAAATCCGATAGTAAAAATGATAGCGGAGCTGTCCTTTTGCATCAATGTTGGTGTTCCATGAAATCAGGAATAAATTGATGCATCGTCCGTCAGGAGTCGGACAATCCATGAATCAACAAGGGCTGGACAGTGCCTAGGCCTGGATGGTCCACGACTGCGTATAAGTTGCAATGTTTTCCTTTCAAAACTTGAAACTCTAAGATCTCCCGGCTTCAGAGGCTGTTAGGTTTCTGTTTGGTGATTGCTGAGTTGTGTTTGTCATCCACCTGTTCACTTTTCCACTACGACTGCGTACGAGATCACCGCTTAGTAAGCATTTCAAACTGTCTTTGAGTCTTCTTATCGAGTCGGATCATCTTCGGCGGATCATCTCTCGAGGGAGGCATGATGCTCATCCGGCAATTTTCTTTTATACAGGACGTTGGTTGCTAATAATGGCGATTGTCTGGTGACAACGACAATTTTTTTCCCGGCAATTCATGCTGTTGAAACCGGGATCATTATCAGCTAGCATAGAACGTAACAGTATTTCAAAACCGACTTTCTTTTAACCTCGGTATAAGCAGTCGACATGTGTTCTTTCATGGTTTTTAAGTCCTCAGACGTTTCCTCATTTTATCTTATCCAATAAAATATTTCTAGATTGTAACCTATATTAAGGTCTCTCATTCAAATTAGGAAGGACCTTAGCAGACAGGGTTTACAAGGCTAAAAAGCTGTAGCATTGTAGAGTTACAGGCTTTATGAAGGGTTAGTTTTTTTAAACAGGGTTTAGCAAATGAGAATCAAATGCGAAATATGAAGAGAAGAGAGATGAAACTTAAAAAAATAAATTATATTTTTTGAATTGTAAAAGAAATGCCGGATTAATGTCTTCCATTTGACTTGAGGAGTAACATAGGAATGGAAAAGGTGAAACTGTTAAGGGAAAACTGATAAAACTAATAAAAAAATAAAACTAATGTAACAAAATAAAAAATAAAACTGGTAAAAAATGCAAAACCAGTAGATTTAATTGTTTTTCAGTTTTTAGCTATAAAAACGCTTCACTAGTTCCACTTAAAAAAGATGAGGTTTCGCTGCTGATAGAAAGACCAGTGATAGCTTTGTTACTTATGACACCACTTCAAGTAGGCTCTGAGCTCGAGTTGCAGCGATTGGTATGAATGTATATATGAAAATGTATGAATGTATGTATGAATGTATGAAAATCCACCCTTCAGAGTTGTGTGTATGAGATGCTTATAGTGGTGCGAGAACTATCTGGGATACTCACGAACAAGTTAGAATGACTTACCAAGCAATACGAGCATCGAAAGGGATTTCCTCTCATGGAACAACTGAGCGTATATCTGTCAATCGCAGAGAGAAGTTAGTCTAACTCTAAATCGAACCGCAAGGTTGAACACAGTCAAAAACTATTCGCAAGCCACCAATGCCGGTTGATTTCTAGTTCACCTATCTGTTACATTTCCAGTTAGAAAGCCGTCTGGGGAGGAAGACCTCTCATCTCCCACAGTGATGCAATGTGTCACCAAACTGGTATCTCATGAATCATTCTTTTTTTTCTTTTTCTACTTTCTGAGCTGGTTCGTACTTAATTGAAGCAGCTTTTGATGGACTATTGTAAGATAATTTCAACTGTGCTGAATTCTCGATTGGCATCTGTAATTCTTCGATAGCGAAACCAACTGAGGTCCTAAAGAATTGAGACACTTAGAGAACTAAGTTTCCATAGCCACCAGATGTATGAACTTTCTCCAACATTTCATTTCTGTTCCCATTTTTTGAAATAATATTTTTGAAGAGGTGTTAGTATTACAGTGTTTTCAAATTTTGAACCCAAGAGCTTCAGCCGTGACGGCGTTAATAACGCAGTTTGGGAACCGTCACGCCCTACTGTGTGAAGTCCAGTTTGTACAATCCCTTAGCTTTTTGAAACGCATATCTCCACGAAGAAAAAGAAACCATTTGTCGGCCGGAGAAAATTGGAGTTTTGTCATGGCAGCATAATAGGAAAAAATCTGAATCGTAGGAAAAGGAACAGTTGAGCTGTCGTATTTCTGTCGACTCCGATAGTTCTTGCTCCGACTGATAACACTCATTCAAAGGAAATAGAATAACGTGCTTCATGCTGATTAATCCCTGAAGGGTTCGCTTTGCAATTGCCTTCGTCCACTATCGTTAGAGGTGACTTGATGCATAGCTCTTCTATATAGTGACTTACGGTGGCCTACTAATGAACCAAAGTCTGGTAGAAATCTGCCGATCGTGCAGGAACAGAACGCACTGTGAGCCCAGAGAATCGCACCAAAGACCGCGTGTTTATTCCTGGGCGTATCTAATCATCACACTGCTCGTTCCTTTTTGGTGATTCTGAAACAATAGGATAAGCAAAGGTATTCTTAACGAGGCGGATGGCAATCTGCAGAAGCTTCATAGAGCGATATTTCCGATGAAAATCTTTTACAACCATGTGGAAAGCCACAAGGATACGAACCAAACGTGAAAATCCCTCCTTTTCTTGTATATCTATGACTTGCTCAAAAAGTCATCTTCGTTTTCCGGAAAAAATTCTCGGACTTTAGCGCCGAAATCCAGAAATTAAGAGCGATGACGAGACGTTACTATTCTTTCACAGCCTTTCCTCCTTCCATCTCACATCCTTACACGGTTGGCAAAATAATCTTAATTCGTTGATACATTGAGCATTGAGTGAGTGAGGGAGTGAAGATAATTAATTCCATTAAGATCCCAATTCTTTTACTGCTCTGTTAAGATGCAGTGGTCAATATATTTCGCCCTTAGGGTAATAATGAGCCGGTATTCCTGTTTAGTACCCATAAAACCTTTTCATTTTTCTTTCACTTTTTTTATTTTTTTGTTTTATAAAAAATGCAATTAAAAATCTTTCCAATTTGACTGTCAGACATAGGATCGTTTCTTAGCTTAACATACTAATCCCACCTCGTAATGGACGGATTGGCTTGTCGTTCTCATAAACTGTCTTCATTCAACATGGAATGGAGCGAATTCGTTTATCTCAACAAGACGATTGCATTCTGGTATCGTTTATCCAATAATTTGTTGAATAGCTTCCTGCTTGTGTAATGAGCCTATCTGTAAGGCATTTAAGACAAGAACAACTGCGTATTCATTGATATGGGCACACAGATGAACCTCAACCTCAGTGAACGTCATCAGTACTTCTCTAAGGCTAAAGTAACCTCCGGAAGTCGACTGCGCTCGTTCTGCTCAGATACCTGTATAATTTACCTTGATTTAGAGGGAAAACCAAACGTAGCAACAGGAACAAGCCCTTGTTAGTGAACGTTATCTTCACAAAATTCTGCTTAAAGCCCGCTTTGTCAGACTCGACTCAGAGTGAAGCGTTGAAGTTGTGCTTTAGTTATTAGGACTCTGTGGCCATGCCAACGTCTTTACATCAACAATGATCGTTACAAAGTAAAAACTCGTGATTTTCGCCTCCCCCCCCCCATTTTTTATATGGCTCCTCATCGCTTCTGTTGTTTAGCACGCACTATCCATAAATGTTCCCGGATTTGTTTGAGTTTTGCTGTTACATCAGGGTTTTGTCTCTTTCATGAATACAATTGAATGGTGATTAAACCGATGTTCGCTAGAATTCTAGGAAAGATCTGTTATAGAGTTTCCAGACCATCATTAAAAGAGCACCGACGTTGTGAATCGGCGAGAGCTTTTTCGCACAACTCTGGAGCCTCTGGACATATAGGGGCCCTTTTACGCAAAACTTTGGAACTAACTTGCCGACTCCGGAGGTACATGGGCTGTGGGCAGCGTTGTGGCCTAGACCATAGACTTATTTTGAGAAGGCTGTTTTTGTTATTGTTGAAATCATTGGTATATTAAGAAAAGACTAGTTGAACAAAACTTTGCATGTTGTAACACCTTCCTCATATAATTTTAGGAGATGCCTTCAGCAGTTTTCTGTTCGTTGCTGGCCGGTATCAGTGCAGTGATTGAAATTCACTACTCGATTGATTTTAACAATCTTGAATGGAGTCAGAAGTGGAGCTGGGCTGCTGTAGGTTTCATCGCATTTTTTAAAAAACTGCCGAAATCACGAATAAATCGTTGACTTTGGTGTGTGGGTTTAAGTATGCTTTGTTAAGAAAATTCATCCGCAAAAGTAAAGGTTGCTTTACGGTCGCAAGCCTCTAAGGAGTTCCTAAACCTCGTGTTTGTTCCTATCACTTAACGTTTGGATGTGTGAATAACTAATACGTTACCATAATCCGATACTTTCAGGCAGATTCCGTAGCTCTGTGCTTTATTCATGCCGTCCTAGCCTTCGCTTTGCAATGAAACCCCGTTTCTTGGAGTATTTTCCTAACCTTCTTTTTACCTCCTTTCTAGTTTTCTTTCTATTATTATTAGCACTCTTTTGTAAGTACTATTTGCCAGTCATCATAAATAGTTAAGGTAATATAGCGCAGTGTTCAGGCATACTATCATTACTTCTAGTGGACTTACTTACTCTTTCACATATGTTCACTTTCTATCGTCTCTTTGTTGATCTTTTGGCTTGATGTCAGATTGTTCGCAGTCCTCAAATGAGCTCTGTCGGCAACTGAAGCTCTCCAATGGATCTCCTACCGATCCAAGGCAATCACTCTGTCTTCATTTCTCGCTCAATTAACTTTAAGGGATATTAAGAAGCCAGTCCGATTTTTATTTAAGGTTAATGGTTTAATTTGCTCAAATATTGTGCCTGATCTGTTTCGCTGGCAGTAGTCAGCCGGCAGAATGTTCGAATCTCACACATCGTATCGTTCTCAAAATCTCTGTCATTCTCTTTCTTTTCAAGTTTTTATAGATTATTCCAATTTCGTCATATATTCCATTGTTTCAACAGTGTTTTATTCACTCTGAATCCACTTCGAGTTAGTGAATAAAGTGACCGATCATGATGGAGTTCTGTAGAAGCGCACATTTGCACTGAATGCGGAATCTCCAACGTGGAGACAAGAATGCCTGATATAACCTACGTCCTATCCGGTTACCATTTAGAGAAGTCTTCGCTAAAGTATCAAATTTGATGCGGTCACTGACGGACTTCATAGTGTTTATTTCGTGACGTGTCACTCCAAAATCTCACGATGAAGTGTGAATCAATAGTGATTTAGAAGGGTGCTGATTGATGCTTATCGAAGAAATCTTATCAAAATCACAATGCTTCGGGTACATAAATGTAGACGTCCCAACGGTTTACCGCCTCATCGTGGCTGAGAGATGTTGCTGGGTACCGGGCTGTGATGTAGAGCAGGGGGTCTATCCCATGGTCTCTCAAGGTGACAAGGAGTCCGCGCTTCCATCAGGAAACCCGGCTGAAAGTAAACCAATGCCAGGATCCACTACCGTCGTGGTATCAAACTAATCGCATGATGGCAAATTTGCCTCTGATCGAAAGGAGCGGCGACAGCTTGTGCTGGTGACGACCTGGCGCAGACTTTGGCCAGGGGTTATTCTGACCTTTCTGAGGTTTACAATGCTAGTCATTTTAGCACGTCTAAATACTAATGTTGAAATGCTTATACTCATCAGAATACGGCAACGCCGTGAAAACAGCTTGAGTTCTACGGATGAAGCCGCATCGAGTCGGTCGGTGCTCGGTGAACGACAACCACTAGCGCGCTCTCACCGGTTACGACCTTTAATTAGTTGTTGTAATATTATAATCTGCAAGTATTATAATGATTCGAGCTTTTCTGCGATTGAATAGATCCAAGTCCTTTGCAATTTCTTCGGCAAACAGTTATTTTATTTATGCGGTTACGACTTCAAGCCAATTGTTTCAATAATTTCTGTAGAATGGAATTCTCATGCTTCGTAACTGCTCTATTTTCCTTTCTGCTTAACTTTTCCGGGTCATGACTCTGACTCACTATTTTGTACAATTTAAAGAAATGCAGCCGTGAATTCAAAGTGTGGTCATTATGAAACACCGTCACGTTCTCATTCCATCCAGAAATTGAAATTTGCAGGAAGAGCACTTGGGTGGATTTGAGCCACGAGGTGTTTTGCCGCCATGTCATTCAGGTGCTTGACCTACTCAGGCCCATGGATAGGTGAAACATGGTTGAAATTATTTAGCATCTTAACTTCCAACTCAAATACCTCATCTCATGGCAAATCTTATTGACTGAAGGAAAAATCATTAAATTATCACGTCTCTTCCTATGAGGAACAAGTTTCCTCAAACTCTTTGAGGAAATCGCGATTTACCGGAGCTCAGAAATTGTTGATTTTCTTTGCGGATTATATCTCGAGAAACAAGGCGCTTGAAAAGACGGCATTTCGTTCAATGAGGTATAAATGTGTCCCCGAATAAATCGCATGTGTTCTCATCTGTGGGTGGCAAATTTCTTAAAGTTTCATTTCATTGATGTTTGATTAAACTGGAAGCGTTTTAAATAGAAACGGCTGCAATAAATGCTTGCTTAACTGAAGAGATAAATGATTTACTTTCATATGTGGTGCGCATCCCACGGGTCGTCGAGTTCGGGAAAAGGCTTTCCACTATCTATTGGATCCTTCTCCTGTTTTCAGTAAGAAGTTCAATGTTATTTAAGGATAGTTTTCCACTGCATCCCAACGTAACACCTATGGAGCTTTCCCAACATTTCTTCCCAATATTTCGAAAGCCTTTGTAGATTGGAAGAGCTTTTGTCATCTTTCGCGATTGCGATTCTTGCTAGACGACATTTGCTTCTGCGATCGGTGGCTAGCAATCCTTTAACTAGTCGCCCATTCGAAGACGAAGCTGCACTTTAGTGGAAATAGCGAGTACAAAATTATGTTTGCATATTTATGTGGATGTTCACCTTTCGATTAGCTATCTTGTAGTAATACAGCAGTCGTCCATACTTTTTGCAACCTTACTCACGAAAATCTCACACGCTTCTTCAGCTGAAATAAACCAGTCCGATCGTTGAGCTTTCGGCTGTACACTGAATTCTCGCACCAAAAATACTCCATCACCACAACAAGATGAGAAGCTGCAGTGGTGGACCCCGTCCACTTTTCGAGTACCAAATCCGACTTTGTGGGAAATGAGCGCGAAATATTAGTAGGGCCGATAAATCAGTTCTTCAGTTTAGCTGGACAAACTCAGCTCGCTTAAAAGAGCTTAGCGCTCCAGTTGTTAAGCTGTAGGCTGCTCAAGGAATCAGAGTGCATCAGTTTATTTTTATTGCTTAGAGCTTTTCTCCATAAACATTGAATTAAAGAAAGGCCAATCTATCCAGGCTTACGAAATGGTGCTTCCGTAAAACCTTTCTCCAAAATGGTTAGAGAGTGGCAGGAAGTCTTAAGCATCGAACCTCTGATGAATTAGCAGGTTACCATCCCATCTATGATTGAAGCTACAGCGATTTATGAATTCAAATACATTCATTTGTTTATGCAAAGGAAAGAATGCACTCGTTCGAAATATTCGCTTCGAGTTTAGCAATCCTAAGCAAGCGAGACATGAACAACCGATATTGTCCTTGATATTGTCCTTTCCCTCTAACAGTCTCAGATCCAGTTCTTTGGAAGAGCGGCCGCCCCGATTGTTATTGTTATCGAATCGCAACCGTTTCCCTGGCCGTTTAGGTCATCTGATATGTCCCTACCACTGTATGTCTATTATTCTAGATGGGAATTCTATGTTTATAAACCTATTTTGTCTTGCTGCCTCAAATGTGTTGTTTAGAAACAAGAATAGAAAAGCCTCTGGGAACACTTTATAAATGTGGCAAATTCCGACGGCTTTACGCTTTCTTCTTTCATTCACAGTTGTCGAATTGAACTGAATGATTTTTAACGTCGGTATAACTAATCAATATGTATTCATTCTTTGATGAATTTACGCGAGGTGACCATCGTGCCGGATCGTCGGCTCTGATGAAGGCGAAACCGTCGAAGCGTTAGCCGAAACTAATTAGTATTTATCACCCTGGCGTAAGCTCATCAAACAATGAATGAGATTTGTTTTTAATAATAACCCTTTCGACTTAATGACGCTTAAACTTTTGAGTTCGAACTTTAACCCTTAAACTCTTTTAGATGACGACTTTTTGGAAATGAACTTAAACTCTAAGCTTTTTAATGACGAAGGTGAATTTTTTTAGCCGAATGATGCTTACGGTTTTAATTCGGATTGATCATCGACCTATCACTGGCACTGATGAGAAATACGACACAGAAGAGACTTAAGTTTTGAAATGGACGTCTATAGGTGTTTGTTTTCGCCCAGACGTCTCACAGTCGAGCAGTCATGAGGTCGGGACGTCTCGAAATACTCCGACGACCTCTAGGATTAGTGAGGAACTCGTTGTCGAGGAAATTCTCTCACGAAAGAAAACACTCCCATCTTCCGATTTTGAGCACTTTTCAACAAACCGAGCAGACGTCGAATAAACACAAACATCTCGACAACCAAACTGAGCCGTACAGCCGAACGAAAGCCGCTTCAGCGCTTCCCATTACGTCAGCTTATGCCCTCAATCTAACCACTTTTTCAAACTCGCTGCTATACTACTATACGAAATCACCTAACAAACTAGTAGTGGACTTGATTTGAAAAGGAACCTAAGATCGGAAAATTGTTGCTAATGTAGCAAAATAATACAGTTTAAGGGTATTAGTAGCCTTTTTAAGCGCGATGAGAACTTCACCTCGGCTGCTTTTACTAACGCAAGAACTAAGGAGCATCCCGTGCTTAACCATATGCCTTACAAGTTTCTAGTACTACTTCACTTTATACGCAAGGTCATTACTATTATGTGAACACTAAGTTCCATATTCTTAACATTTTCGCGAGCCCCAAAAAGGGTAATCGTGGTTCGATCTGGCCTCAGATCCAAGTTTTGCGAACATCTTGGTATCATTGTGGTTGTATACTACACCCTACTTTGCCGTGAAAGTAATAGAAAAGTAATATAATAGGTAGCAGATAAAAGGCTAACATTGTGATTTCGACTATGGCCTCAGATTAAGTGAGTTCGATACCGATTTGTGCTCCTCAGATCAATCCTGTTGACGAGTGATTGTTGATGGCAGCATTAGGTAAAAAACTAGCTGAGAATGATAAAGTTGCAATCACTTTTTGTTTAGTGCCTATTCTTCTTCATGATAGGGTATGATGTGAGTTATAACACAATGATGCTGAGGGGGATTTGCAGAACTCCGGAAAGGAAAGGGTCCATAGTGAGTTCGATCTCCACAGCAGACACCTGCGCTCCGGACTTTTGCAAACATCTGAGCATCATTGTGGTTCCTGTTGACATTTGTTTTGCTTCCGGATTTCTTCCCGAAGTCCCAGTGGATTGTTACTGTCCAAGTGCACTCTGACGACGAGTGTTCGACTGATCGAACCCTCTCTTCGCCCTCCTCGAATGGACGGGAGCGGACAGCCATGGACATCTGGCCGTCGGACCGGCCTCCTCCGCGTCCGGCTGAGTCGCCTGCGTCTCTGCTCCTCTCGTCACCTCGCTCTGCCCACCTTTCGCTCTGACGCGTGCACTCTTCTTCTTTTGGCACTGAGCCATCACTAGACGCTCTGGATTTATGTTGCTTTTATTAATATTTTCTTACTACGGAGAAGACGATTTGTTTACCCCACGTGTCGCATTTTGGTCAGCGTGGTTCGTCTGAGAAGCGGTAGCTGGCGGTGCTCGTGTACGAAGTAATGTCTGTCAGTTTTCATTCTATAACTCCTCTGCTTCATACCTCCTGTGGAGTTGGTCCATTTGAAAGGCAATATTTCCTTCCTATGCTTCCGCACCACCACAGGACGTTCTGTGAAGCTTCGTATCTGTGAGGTGCGATCGATCGTGTGGAATTCGTGGAATTTTGCTGCATGAACTGCTGTGATCCCTCTTTGACACAGCGGTTGTAACGCCCTAATCAGCTTTTTGTTATCAGGCTATCAATAAAAGCCACTCATTGCAGTGTGCTACACTCTGTCTGGTGCACTATCATAGGTATCGGTCAACTCGTGTTTGATTTTTGTGTAACTGCGATTGTGCGAAGCCCATCAGTGATTCAGATGATGGAGCCGGAGTGGTGTCTGATTAGCCTATTGCAGTTCCTACTGCTCAGGATGTGCTGTGCTCCATCACGGTCACGGATTCGTACGCGGGTTGATGCGCGTGGGTCGCCTGTCCCGGGAGGAATTCGCGAAATGCGCCATCGCCACCGCCCGGTTCGGCCGCTGCGCATAGTTTATTGTTCCTTCCTGCGTCGTTCGCAGTGCTTCGATTTTTCACTGGCCTTTATCCTTCAACGAACCTACTGAGAAACTCTAAAATCTTAGCGTTGTTGCATCGGAACTCTATTTCTTACGTATATTCTTTCATTGGTAGCGTAACACGTTTTTAAAAGGCATCTTCGTCTTCAGGGCCGAATTGGTCCGACTCGACTGTCCATGGTCGTTCGTTCGTCCTCGCGACTTAGGTGTTCTTAGTCACGTGGAGTCGAACTCGAAGGAGTGGAGCAGCGCTAAAATGAGCCAGTCGTGGTCAGGAGTGCCATTTTGTGTAGCACAGTTGTAGATGTATTGTCCCAATGAGGTTCGCTGATCTGTTCTCATGGCGGCAATGAATCCTGTAGAATCCTGCTATTCCTAACTGTTAGTTGTCGAGCTTAATCTTCAATTCAGTCATCTTGACGCACACTGAACGTACAGCAGCAGATCGTGTACATTTCGGTACTGCTTCCACGATGACAGGAGAATGTTTGAGAAGTCTACACTTTCCACGGAATTTCGCGCTGATTCTGGCACAGCATCCGAAAGGTTCTTATCGGTGATTCATCGTTATCGATGTCTGTCGAGATTAATCAGTTTTCTCTGTTGTATAGCTTCAACTGGATTGTTTTTAAACATCGAAATACTGATTTCCTACTCAGCGCTCGGTAGTTTTGGGACACTGTGCTTGGCCTATTCACGTCTCATCGCCCAATTTGATGACTTTTTTAGTAATTGCTTTAGTGTGATTATTGACAGACCTTTTTTAAGACTTTAGGAGTTTCTGAACATCTTCAGATTGTTCACATCACCTGGGCTATTGGTGTTAAACAACCAATTAATTTTGAGTACTACTCAACCTTAAGCCTCCCAATGGTTTACCGCCTTATCGTCGGTGGGAAGTGTTTCTGGGAGTCGGACTGCGGTGTACGGCGGGGGATTCCTCCCCCGGCAAGGTCTTCCAAGCTGAGAAGGAGTCTGGCGTTTCCATCAGGAAACCTAGCTAGGAGTGAACCAATACCAGGATCCACCACCGTCCTGGTATCAAAGTCACATGGTGGCAAATCTCTCCCTGATCCACAAGGGCTGCGACTGCCTGTGGTGGTGAAGACCTGGAGCAGACTTTGGCCACGCTGACCTCGGGATTCCAGGGAACCAAAGTGACTTAATGAGCAGATCTTCGAAAAATGGTGATTATACCGGCGGGCCCGCACAACCAGTGAGGACGGGCCGTCAAGTATCAAGTAAGCAATCACTTAAACTTAAGGCGGAGACTGGCTAAACTGACCTCGGGACTCTAGGGAAGCACAATAGCTGAGCCAGCAAAACTCCGAGGAAGTGGAAATTTTGCTGGGAACCCCACATCTAGTGAAGACGAACAATTCAAGTATCCATAGTGAGTAGAAGAGCGAATGCCATTGATTGAAGAAACCTCTGCTCTGTTCTCGTGGAACTCCTTTTTTGACGGGTTTTACACAATACCACCTACATTTTATCTATTTGTTTCTCGTTTTACACTTCCCGACGTCGTATTGTACGAATCGCACCAGTTCTTCTATTCGATTCGTTGCCTCACGTCCGTAGTCCATGAATTTCGTGGGATTTTGCGAGTGTGTTCAGCTCCCGCTTTAGATTTTTAACCTTCTTTACGAATGGCGTTGAAAGTTTCGGTCGAGTTTACTCTCCCAGAAGCCCTGGGGGAGCCGTATTGTGTCGTTCTCAGATCTTTATCGACGGCAATCGCCAGCTTTTATGGCTTTCTAGGAGTGAATTGATTTCAGACAACTTGAGTACCAATCTCACCATTCGTTTGTACGTTTATTTGTACGACAACTTGGAAGAAGAAAAACTTTCAACATCCAGTATTGACTATGGGGAGCTTCGTGGCATTTGCTTTAAGTCCAACAAATTCCTTCGCTCGCGAAAGTTCTAGAGTTGCTGATTCCTTGGAGAATATCCGATTGTCACTGATTTATATCAGGAGGGCCGCGGGATCCATACTGGCCAGCGGGCCTGGGCCCACCGCAGCGCCACCCATGGGTGATCGTCTCCGTTGTGGAACGCCATATAACGTCACCAGTGGTAGGCAGCTGTTACTGCTTGGCCACAAATATCGACTGTTCATCACATTTTCCACTTCTCTCTTTTTTTTTGTTTTTTACGATGTACACGGATGAAATCCCTTCGTGTTTTACGGCTCATTGCAAGTTTTATTGTTGTTTTACACTATTTAATGTTGTATCGTCCCATGAGCGACCACAGTTCTGACGGTCTTCATCTTTGTTTTTCGTCGAATGTCTGCTAAAATTAGCGTATTTGAAGATAACTTATCAGAGGCACGTGTGGCGCAGTGGTTGGAGACGCCCTGCAACACACACGAGAAATCAATCCCCGCACCCATGCCCCACCAGGCCTTCCATCCCCGAGGTCGGCAAAGTGGTACCAGACTTGTCTAGGAGGTTACCAGCACTGGCTCGATACATTGGCAGGCCATCGCGAGTCATTGTAATGGCCAGATATGCATTGAATCACCTGCAAACTATGCTTAATGAAGTCGAATACATGGTTCGGCCCTTAGGGATTGATCAACGCCGAGAGGTTTTTTTGAAGCTTTAACTTAGCAGTAACATACGAGTTGATGTGACACATTTGAGTTCTAGCCGGTGCTGATAAGTTGGTCTTGCCAGTAAAACAAAGCTGCCGTACCTTGGTGTTCATTTTTGCAACGACGAGACTCCGTTCCCTCGTTTTTTTTTCTGTGCGACCCGTCTTCTCATCTACTGTGCGGACCCCAGCATTTCTCACATTCGATTCATTTCCTCACATCCATTGTCCGCGAAGACCTTCCAACTTTTACCTGTGTCTTCAGTTATTGTTTGAGGATTTTCATTTCATCGTGAATGTCACAAAATGCTGGTCGAGTCGATTCTTCCTGGAATCCCGAGATATCCGGGATGGAGCTCTCCCAGTTGGATTGCAGAGAGTGATTTTTTTCCCGGTTAAGTCCGGTACCAATTTGCCGATCTCGGAGGGATGAGAGGCTCGGTTGGCCCGGAGCGGAATCGAACTAGCACTATGCTCGTGATGACCGACGTTGCTACACCGTACTGTCCTCACCCTCATTCGCTTGTTATGTGTACCTATTTTCCAAATGATATTCGTAAGAATGCAGTCACAGTACGCCGTCGTCGTCTCATTGCTTAGAATTATCCCACTTTTCTGAACTCTACATACTTGTGAGAAGTCGATACTGCTATAAAAGGATAAAAAACAAAGCTCTCGGCGTTGATCAATCCCTGAGGGATGCGCCATGCATTCGACTTCATTAAGCATCGTTTGGAGGTGACTGAATGCATATCCAGTCTTTACAAAGACTCGCGGTGGCTTGCCGATGTATCGAGCTAGTACTGCTATCCTCCCTAACAAGTCTGGTGCCGATTTGCCGACCCCGGAGGGATGGATGGCTTGGTGGGCCATGGGCGCGGGGATCGATTCTACGTGTGTGTTGCAGAGCGCCTCCAGCCACTGCGCCACATGCGCCCTTATTACTACTACAGGTACTGAAAATGAGAAGATTTCTACTCATAGATTGGAAGCCACTCAGACTTTCTACTATTAGTAAATGAGGTGGAATCATCTAATCTCCGAGGAGAATTGTCGCCGTAATCAATTGTTCGCTACGAAGGAGTTTCATTCTGTCAGAATGTGTTTGCTGAAGAATTCGAACCTGTTCCTTCTGTGTGTTTGTTTTCTGAGAGTGTAGCCCCTAAGTTACCTTACGTAGATGGTTTCGAGTGTTTGAATGTCTACGAACCGCCGTCTGATTCATTGGGGTGCTGGAAAGGCAATTTACCTCGATGATGACGGTATCACTTGTTGTTTGATTTATCGATTTCTAACAAAGCATTAGGCATCTGTTAGTCATAACTGCTTTGTAACAATAGTAAATGCGAGTTTTGACAGCTTCTGTATGAAGCAGCGTCAGTGTTTCACTTTTTCGAGATTGGAGCATGTTAGTGAGCAACCACGATAGGCCACTACCGCTGAAGGTTCTACCTACCATCCATCATATGTTTGTAAGGCAGGTGAAAGAGAATAGCTGTAAACAGTGGTCCTTTATCTTCACCACTTTCATCTTTTCACTTTACCTTCAACTACTGCATTTCAACTGGTCTTTCTTGGCAACATTGGATTTCGTACTTGTGTTGAAGACGTAGTGTTTTTTCTTATTTGTTTAATTTTCTCCATTTAGGGAATATATGATGTGAATATTCTGAACGATCATTCTATGCTGACCTCGTTAGAGTAACCACCGCATCGTTTGTGATTTGTTTGTTTTCACTTTACCCTAAAATGATGGTCTCCAATATCATGGTTATCAATGATTTAACTTCTTCACGAGTTGATGGTGGTCGGTAGGTCTGAGTGATCGTCATTTTTCAGAGATTGCCTTATCATTTGTATTTATCCAGTAATTTTCGTACACTTAAAGATGTTCGGCCGGAGTTCTCGACAGTATGTGTTCGAAAATGGCGTCACCATGTACTGCGAGCACATCTGGGGAAGTCGAGTCAACAGCGAAACCAGGAGAATCAAATGGAAATTGTCTAGTTATGCCACATTCTCAGGTATTAGTTCTTTTCTGTTGTTTTAGCAACTCAGTTGTTTTAAATAGTATATCCTTGGAAGATTTATATTCTTACGCTACAGTTCTCTCCCCATCCATTTGCAACAGTATTTGGTCAAGTTTATGCCGTCGACGATTTCGATGTTCTAGAAAGACTTGGAGAAGGTTTCTTTAGCAAAGTTTCTAAGGTTTGTTGATCTTACGATGTTGCTGACTTGTCATTTTTAGTTCATACTAACTGAGAAGAGATGCTTCATCGGAGTTCACCTCTTTCTATTGTTTTGCTTTTACGTACACTAGCGAAACTTCCACAAAACTTTTATTTAGGTCGTTTAATGTAAAGCAAAGTGTCATATATAATTCCCACGACCGACTTTCTATTAATCTGGGCATTGGTCGAACAACTCTTAATATTCTTGTTGAGCAAACACGAGGTGTTATTTGATTTCTTTATTTATGAGCACGTTGACGTTTCGGAGGATTTCACCATCCTCAGAACCTGGAAAGGTTAAGTTGAGCGCAATCTACCCAGCCAAACACGATCTTTGACTGGGTAGATTGTGGTCAACTTGACTTTTCAAGTCTCATATTTAAGTTGAGCAAGTGGTAGTCGAAGAAGTAGTGGACACCACACGAACCGTCTTCTTATTTGAGTTTACGAAACTCTTGCGCTTGGTTTACAACACGTTATTCATATGGTAAAATTGGTTTAAGATTGACATTGTTTTAGTTTTCCTGCTATATGCATGACATTTATTAGTTTTCATATGAATTCGACCTTTTCTAGCACAATATCTTTGTTCTAAACTGGTTGACCTGGAACTTGTGCGACCTGTGCTTTTAATCATCAATTGCAAATTCAACTTTTATTCAAGATGCTTACACTATATGTGTTTGTTGAGCGATTGAACCAGAAGTAAAGGACAAAAAGATAAAGTTTTTTCCGTTGATCAATCTCCGCGGAAAGCGCCATATATTCGACTTCATTAAACATCGTTGGAGGTGATTGAATGCCTGGCTTTTGCAATGACTCGTGGTGGCCTAGCGATGAATCGAGTCAGTGATACTATCCTCCCAGGCAAGTCTGGTACCAATTTGTATTTCGTAGGGATGGAAAGTTTGGTGACCCTGGCGTGCCCAGATCGATCCCATTTGTACTGCAAGGCACCTCTAACCGCTGTGTGCTGCGCATGTCCCTTTAAGTGACAAATGTCGTTTCCACACTTTTCCTTTCAAACTTGGTCGCAACGATGGAAAATGAAATTGATGAGGTCTTCGAAATAATCTTTTTAATCTTAACATGGTACGAATACGAAGACCTATCTTTATTACATATGCAGTATAAAATGGAAAGTAGGTTGCGGGAATTACTAGGTGTGCATTTGGGGTCATTCCTGACAGGTGTTTCGCCTATTATATTTCCGACGAAGATATGCCTTTGATATAACTTCAATGGTGCTGAGATATTTGCAAAACTCCGGACCGCAGGTGTGTGCGGTGGGAAGCGAACGCATTATTGTCCTTACCGGGGACTAGCGCACTTCACCACCACACCATCCGGATCCTTCGTTTTGCCTGTCTCTCAGCTAGTTCTATCGATCTTTTTGCCTTTGATAGTTCTCATAAAATCTTTTTCAAAATTCGTGGTACAAAATTACAAGTAATTTGTGCTTTCCGTAAGAAAACCGTGGTAGTAAGAAAACAAGCTCAGTTATGAGATCGTATTTACATAGATAGTAAATATTTATGTTAAGGGCGAAAAGCCTGCGTTTTTCTCGTTTAGTTTTATGGTAACACCTGGAATTTATGTTCCTTGCAGTATAGAGCTGACTAACCTGTAATTTTTCGATAAGTATCTTCGTTCCATATGTGTGTATCCCAAACAAACGATTACTTGATAGTTCTCACAAATTGAAAAATTGGTACCAGACTTCACTGGAAATAGTTTACTTGCTGCAGTCCAGGTTAGGACACTCTTGCTCGGCTAACTTTCTAACTATTATAAAGAAGATGACAATCCTAAAGCAACAACCGTACCTAAACACCAAAAATTAACATATATGTTTTTATGTAACCTAAAAACAACATATTTTTGTTTACTCAGCCAGAGGACATTTTGTTCCAGGTTAGGTTAAGATCCTCTGGAGAGGAGATGGTATTGAAGGTTGCGAAATGTTCTGGCTCACCCGAAAATCGGCGTACTGTTCATGCTGATGTCGCACATGAGGCAGCAATGCTGCACCGCTTATCACACGAAAATATTCTTGCTTTACGTGGTGTGTGCGTTGCAGTTGTTGAGGATGGTGAGTCGAAGCATAGTTACCAGAGATGGTACCGTCCTAAGGTGGTTAAAATGTACAGGTTATTGGGATATGCATCTGCTTGTGGACTACTGCGATGGCGGGAGCTTATCGAAGTTGATCTTGGACCGTGCAACATTGTTCCCCTGGTGTCAGAGAGTTCGCTACAGTCTCGACATTGCTCTGGCGATGCAATATCTGCATTCTGAAATGATAATCCATCGTGACCTAACAAGCATGGTATTGTTTTGTTTTGTATTTGTTTAATCCATAAGTTATTAAAGGTCGTCCTAATTCACTTATTCGCAATTTTTTTCCAGAACGTCCTTCTTCAACTGTCTCGTGGAAGTTCGGTTTGGGGGCGAGCCGTTGTCGCCGATTTTGGACTATCCTGTCGCTTCCCTCGACGTGGTGAGAAGCTCCCTCAAGTTGGCACAACTTATTTCATGAGTCCAGAGTGTCTCAAGGAAGAATTCTATGACGAAAAGGTAAGGATGAAGGCGGGATACCTGTGGTTTGATTTTGTAACAAGGATCGTCAGTTACTGCCTATAAGACCACCCTTGTTAAATTTTCACAGGATTCTGTTTCGGAACTTCCATTAACAAGGAAATTTTTTCGTCACCGTTTGAACGGTAGTACTGGTCCGTTGTTTACTTAATCCTACGTAGTTTTCGGAGAAATGTTTATTGAATGTTTTTCATAACGAGAAATCAACTTTGAATTTTAAATTATGAAACTAAATCGTCATTAGTTCACATAGTTGCCAAAGCAAATTTTTTAATGAATGCTGAAGAATGCTTTGAAAGAAGAGGGACGATATAATGCTTAGGACTTCATCAAGTGGTTAGTCATAATATCTTTACAAGTTTACTACTATTCCACTGCAAATCAATAACACATCTCTTTCTGTAGCATGTCCGAGTAATTGAAATCGTGAGTTAGTTAGACAGGTTTATTCAGTTAGACGGTTTTTTTGTTAAATGGAAAAGGTTCGTTGTTAGCTGTTAACTGTTATACAAGAAATAATTTGTTATTGTCTCATAATTTTGTACAATGTGCTCTATAGTGCTATTTACTTGTATAGGTGGATGGCCCGTCCTCACTGGTTGTGTAGGCCCCAATATAATCTCTATTTTTACGGTGTTTTGCTGGTTTAGCCATTCTAGTTCTCTGGAGTCCTGAGGTCAGCTTGGTCAAAGTCTGCCACAGGTCGTCACCACCAAAAACAGTCACAGCCCTCGTGGATGTGAGGTAGATTTGCCATCGTGCGATTAGTTTAATACCAGGACGGTGTTAGATCCTGGTATTGGTTCACTCCTATCTAGGCTTTCTGATGGAAACGCCGTACTCCTCGGCTTGGGAGACCTCGCAGAAGGAATGAATCCCACTCCCTGCACACCGCGTCCCGACACCCAGGAGCACTTCCCAGCCACGATGAGGTGGTAAACTGTTGGGAGGATAGTGCTGTTTATCTTATATTGTTATCAACATGAAAGCGAAATATACGAAAGCCAAGAACTGATGTTGAATACGCAGCCTTTACGTTTCAAATTTCATTTGATCGAGTCAATACTCTTATTATTTCAAGGTTCGTGCGTGAGTTGTTACAAGAGTTTTTAAGAGAATTTTGTGTTTGATAACCACAATTTCATGAGTTGAGGCGAAAAAAGTATTTGCTGTACTCCGTTTTTGAGCTCAACCCCTGCATTATTTACACTAGTTCGAAAAAGTCAAAATTTCAAAACAGGTATTTTCTAAACCACTGTTAGACGTAGGGTATGACAAAAGTGGCCAACTGTTTAAGGAACTATAAATAGAAGAAAGTCTTACTTTATAGGAGGTTTGAAAGGTGTCCAACGCTATACTCGGATCACGTAGTAAATAAGGATTAGGTCAATGTTTTTTTATTACGGTTTTTGAAAGGAAATATGTGTTGAAAGTGCGAGTAATGAAGGATTTTTGATGAGGGACCCTCCTGAAAGATTATCTACATATAAGGTAAAAGAGGTTAAAGTAAAAGGTTAGAAAGTAAAAAGTAAAAAAAGTACATAATTACATAAGAGTAAAGAGGAATTGGGAGAAAAATGAGTTAGTATAAAATGGGTTAATGTGAGTTAAAATGAAAATGGTTGGTAGTACATTAAGTAATGTAGGAAGTAAATAAGGTATGTTAGTATGAATTAGTCAGTGTAGGAAAAGATTACGTATGAATTTTCATTGCAGTCAGATGTCTTCTCGTTTGGAGTAATTGTGTGTCAATTGATCGCTAGGATCGATGCCGATCCGGATAGTGGACTTCATCGTACAAGTAACTTCGGACTTGACTATGTTCGCTTCACCCCTTGCTGTCCGCTAGACACTCCAATTGCTTTTTTGAAGTTAGCTTTCCATTCATGTGTTGTGAGTTTTACATTACTGTCTTCTCATCTCGCTTTTCTCTTCATGTAGTAACATTTTCAGATGGATCCTTTAGAGCGACCATCTTTTGAAGCACTTGTCTCTATGCTGCAGAAAATCCATACCATGATGCCGTCATCACCGTCCTATGCTGCACTAGAAGGTCCATTTGATATTTGGTTTTGATGTATATCTATTGATAACGTGATTGATGAGTTTTAGCTCGAGGTGAAACCAAGTTAGCTCGTTCTCGTTCTGATGCGGCATTGAAAAAGCCCGCGTCTGCTGTTTTAATGTCAAGAAAGATGTCTAGCAATGTTTGCAGAATGGTTCGGCCAATTATTGAAGGTAATCTTTTGTTTAACTTCGTATTCTTGGTAGTTTTTTCTACATCGTCGAAGTTTTATTACGCTTAAGGAGAGTCAGTCGAGGAGAATTCTTTATTGGCTATGGAAAAGCTAGCACGAGATGTCGCACGTAACCAACCAACGTTAGATCATACTAATCCATTTTTGGATCATGAACGTTTTCGAAAGGAGAGGAAGATTTTGCCAAAGAGAAAATGTCGTCATCGAAGTGATGCCAAACAAGAACGAGAGCTCACAGACGGGAATTACCTCGGAGAAGAGCACATTCAGCATACTGCTACAGGGTTTGTTAGGAGCTTTTCAGAACAGTTTTTTTTTTCTGTGTCGTTTCAGACACGTGCCAGCAATTTACTTGGTTTTGTGTTTATAGCACACAGCGCGCTGTACCTCGTCATAGGTGTTCTTCTCTACCACCAGATATTCATTCTTGTTTTTTGCCGTTTGAGTCGAATGAAGAAAAGCGGGAGATTAGTCCAGGAGGGATGCCTCTAATATATCGTGATTTCGATATGGTGAGTTGGTCTAAGTTTTTTTATACATAATTCTTTCACCTAATAATTAAATGAAAGATTTCTTAACTCGATATTGCAGAAGTTCCTTAAACAAATGAAACGCTTTCCATCTCGTCGACACACACTTATTCCTGAATGTAGCGGAATTCGGTCAAGTCTGGAACTGCAGTCGCTTCGGTCATATCCGAATCCAACTGTAAGCACGATTTATGAAAAATCAGATCATATCGGCTCATAGGGAGGAAACCATATGTTATAAATTCGATTTGATGCTGCTACACCTTCTGATATTGCCGTGAACACTCATTCTCCTTTTTTCCCATAATTTCTGGTATTTTCCTTCGTTAATTTGAACTCTTAACGTATAATTCTACTTCCTTATTGAATTCTACATATCCGAAGGACTTATTCCGCGTTTGCAAGTTCACTACGCTCCACTCCTTCTAATTTGTTTTGTAATTCGTTTCATATTGATTTAGAGGGAATTGGTGTCATACCTACTTATTTGGATACTTGGATGACCTGTCCTCACTGATTGTGTGGGCTCTAGCATAATCTCCATTTTCGGAGTTTTGCTGGTTTATTCTTTGTGGTTCCCTGGAGTCCCGAGGTTATCCAGGCCAGTTTGCCCCAGGTTGTCACTACCACAAGCAGTGGCAGGGCTTGTGGATGCGGGAAAGATTTGTCACAATGCGACTAGTCTGCTACCAAGACGGTGACAAATCCTGCTATCGGTTTAATCTTAGCTGGGCTTCCCTGACGAAACGCCGGACTCCTTCTGAGCTTGAGAGACCCTGCTAAGTGGATGAATCCCCCCGCTGTATTTGGTAGCCCGACACACAGGAACACCCCTGTTGTAGCTCGTAGCCCGACACCCAGGTACACCTCCCAGCCACGACGAGGGGGTAAACCGTTGGAAGGGTCATATCTGCAGCCGACATGTTGAACCTATTCAATTTTGAGTATAATATGAATAGTTCTTTGTAAGAAAACTTCGTAATCTTGTTTTATTCTGTACAGTATCATTAAACGTTATTTACTTGCTGGCTTTTTTTAAAATGGCTTAACATTTCGTTTTTCACTGATTGGCTTTCAAGGGTCTTCACTCTACTACGTCTACTATCCCTTCACCGCATGATATTGCAAACGGGCTGGCCTTTACCGACCAGATAACAGAGGTAATGGTTGAGATTCTTTCTAGAACCCATTGTTTTCTGTTTGTCTTTTCACTTTCTCATTTTGCTTTAGGTATGGTCCTACACTGCTGCTCCTGTGGTATCCGATCAACACATCTCATACTACACAGGGATTCCATCGGAGTACTCACCCAATACAGGTAGTTTTATCGAAACTGTCAACATTTCTTTTGCTCATATATACTTGCGTTAAAGGTAATCGACTAAACAACAATCAGCTTGATGTTAGCAATTCTGAACACGGAAAATTCACCAATAGCCCCACAATCGTTCTGGAAACTGTCGTTCGTGCTCCAACCACAGTTTCAAGCACAATATGTGTTCCGAAATGTGAAGGAGCAGTTGTTAATACAAAATCTCATAAGTGCACTATTCTTTAATGATATGAATAATCTGTTTTTTATTTTCACTGTAAGTTTTTCAAGTGCAGCCAGCTGTGATCTTCGGACGTATTTTTACTGTATTGCTCACGACGGTTTTCTATTCGTACTCAACTTTATGCTATCACAATCTCGGTTTTAGGAGGCCTCCCGGTCAGAATTCATAAGTTCTGCACCACATCTTCCTCGTTAATGTCTCAAATTTCATAATGTTACTCTGTAAGCTTTATAGAGCAGGCTTTTTGTGCTTGAACATTGTACTTTAATGTCACTTAAATTGTCAATGGGTCTCATCTGTTTCTCTTGTTGTTCTTTTTTTCTTTTGTTTACAGCACTGTGCTATGTAGTATTCGCACCTATAAACTTGTTAGGTGCGCCGTAGTCTTGCTTCAGTACCATATAGGTTTCTTGCTCAGGTTTCATTGGTCTTTTCAACCACATACAGGCACTATGGTTACTTTCGAGGTCACTTGTTGAAGATATCAAACACGTAAAGTTATACATAACTCTATAAATATGAGATGTACATTGGTGGCACATCGGTGATCCCGAGTAAACTGCTGATGAGTTTGGCAATATGGCAGATTGTCTGAGATGTGAGCGAATGTTGAAATGCAGCACACGGTAGCAGTGGATTAAGCGTTTGTGAGATCTATAACAATAAAGTAACCAGCTAGAGCAGAATGTTTGCATTCATGGAAAAGCAACTATAGTCGAACTCACGAGTAGATGTACAACATCTTTGGCCTCGTTGCTTACCACAAGATCTATGTAGTCCCTATGTGATTCGTAAGCGAAGGGTATGACGGTATCACGAGTAACGTAGCGCACAACCTAGATTGTAATGAATGTCGTCTCACTAGTGCTAGTGATCACTACGTTTTACCTTGTATGATTTTTTTTCAGTATAACTCGAAGTTATTTTGCGGAGTTCCGCAGTAAATCGTACCACAGTTTGCTTGTCTTGTTCTATGTAGACACCACGAGTTGGGAACGGTAGTTGGGAATCGCGAGTTCCCTTGTACTCTTCAGTGTTATCCTGCATAAGTTCGTTTTAGGTAGCGTTTCTTCTTGGTTTTCTAAAGACCTCTCAGGAAGATAAATTTGCCAAGTAGGAATACTCACTTCTTCTGTGGGTTCTGCTTTCAAGCTCTTCTTAATTGCCTGTATCATGAGAAAACTTGGATAAGATTTGCCGAAAACTTGGTGTATGCGGTTGATCACTGGTACAAGTGCGAAATTCAGATGCTGGAAATCTTAGTTAAGAATTTCTGTTAACCCAACAAGGTGTAGACTGCCAAATGCACTAGTTATACTTTCAGTTCTATTCGAGGAATTTCATCACCAAGCATGGACTTTGCCATCCATTCGAAGCCCGCAGCAATTGACTCCATGAAATAGCCTCCTTCGAGAATCATAACCAGTGGAATTTTCCAAGTCATTAACTGGTGCGTCAACGTTGCATAACCCGCAGGTGTCAGCCGCATTTGACCTTCCGGATCACCTGAATTCTACTTTGTATGAACAGCGCTCGTGCTTTACATTTTATAAATTACTTTCCTCTCCCTAGTAATCTGAACCGTTAAGTGAGACATGTTAGAACTATATCAAATGTTCGCACTCATGCTTCGCGAAACAAAGCCCCTAGAATACTTTTTAGAACTCGAAAGCTAAAGCTCTAATCATAAAAAAATCACCTAGCGCTGCGTCGAAACCGCATGACACGAGTATGACGTCGGGCCTGAAGTCGTTGATCACCGGATGGACTATTAGTTGGAAAATTGCCAGATAATCTGAGTCGCACATTCCAATATCGTTAAGTGGGACGTTTATGGTGTTTTTAACTGGAACGAGTACTGTGATAATAACATCATTGAAAGAGGAGTCCTTTGTGAATCGAATGTGTTCATGTGGGAGTCACAGCCGTCCATTTATTTCCTTGGATGACCCGTCCTCACTGGTTGTCCGGGCCTCACCATAATCTCCACTTTTCCGAAGTTTTGACTGTTTAGTCATTGCGGTTCCCTGGAGTCTCGAGGTCAGCCGGGTCAAAGTCTGCCCCAGGTCGTCACCACTACAGACAGTCGCTGCCCATGTGCATCAGAGGGAGGTTTGCCACCCTGCGCCAGTTTGGTACCAGGACGGTGACGGATCCTGGCAGTCGTCCCTTTGCTACTAATAATAACAGATTTCTACAATGACATAACTGTCCACTTCAGTCCCAGACAACAGCAAATGTGGAGCCACTTAATGAATCTAACATCGTTATGAAGCTTCAACTATTCTCTCAACAGGAGTTGATTGACAACTGTAATTTTTCAAATGTGACTAACCAAATACAATCACTCTACTCACAAATCACTGTGTACACACTAACCACTAGTGTAACTTATTTATGACTGGTTCCTAGTAGATATGTGCTTTTTTTCTTTTCTCCATCTTCTTCTTTTTCCATTCCTTGGAGGATCATGATCCATAGAGCTTCTTCTATACGGTCAAACCATTGAACCTATAAGATTCCCTGCTGTGAATACAGCTGGTTCAAATAGTTCACTAACACACAAACCCATTTTGTGGGCTTTTTCAGGATCATACAATACTTTGCTAATGGTCCAGTCATGTTTCCTTCAGATCATTCTCTCCTTTATTGCTTTGATGATATAAGCTTCCCTTGTCTATGTCGCATTTGACACTCCACTTGGTAACGAAGACAGAAATATTCGGACAGCAAAGATATGTTTCAAGAGGGGACGGGACATACATAAAAAATGCGGCGTCCTCGTTGATATTTGATGGTTTAGATGACTCTTATACAAAATCCTCGTAGAATATACGACTTCGATATAACAAGTTCTGTTAAATAAAAACGATAGAACTCTCGGCGTTAATCAATCCTTGAGGGATATCCCATGCATTCAACTTCGTTAAGCATCGTTTGGAGGTAACTGCACCGCATATCTGGACTTTACAGTAACTCACGATTGCCTGTTGCCGACTCTGGGGGAGGTGGAAGGCTTGCTGAGATTGGGACGCGGGGATCGATCCCATGTGTATTTCAGGGCACTTCTAACTACTGCGCCACACAAGCAACTGTTCCTATGTCTAGGCTTAGTCAGCGTTGCACGGGAACTAACGCTACGGAATTTTAGAACTCGACAGAATCGTCAATCCTGGTGTGAAGAGTGTTTCGCAGGAACTGCTTACTTTTTAGCTAGCCCTTTACTCATGTGAAACAAAAAATCGGTCAATACGAGTCACTTTAGTGTGGGACGCATTCTATTGAAAATGGCTATTTGAAGCGCAGAAGAACTCCAACACCGATGCGGAGAGTACTTTAACTTCAAGGAAGAGATTCTTCTCGTTTTAATAGCATGCAAAAGTTTGTGCGGTTTGTGGCGAATGATAAAAATTCCACAAAGAAGTACGTTCCACATTTTCATACCAGTTTGCAAAGAAAAAAAAAGATATTGACCCAATGTAGAGATCATTTAGTTAGACTTCTCACCATTGTGACAAAACAGTGAATATTCGATTAAGGTGAGATGTATGCCCTTGTTATGCATAAAGAGATTAGCGATAGATTTATTTAGTCGTGGGTTCGTTTTCTGAAAAAACCAACATCCGCATGAAACCCAGACGAGCGCAGTGAAGCATCGTGTAATATGACGTCGCTATTACAAATAGTTAGGGTGTGCATCCTAGTTTAGAACAGTCGGACATTCAGAAATATTTCATGCGTGCTTCAATTTGGCCATGCTTACTTGGATACTTGGATGGTTCGTTTTCACTGGTTGTGTGGGCTTCAGCACAATTTCCATTCTACGAAAATTTGCTGGTTTAGCCATAATAGTTCTTTGGATTCTCGAGGACACCCTGGCCCAGTCTGCTTCAGGTCGTCACCGCCACAAACAGTCGCAGCTGTTTTGGATCAGAGGGAGACTTGACACCGTGCCACTAGCTTGATACCAGGAGAGTGGTGGATCCTGTTGATGGTTCACTCCCAGCTGGGCTACCAGATGGAAACGCGAGACTCCTCAGCTCGGGAGACTGCCAAATTTTGCCATACTGGAACATACTGCCATTTTAAGTGAATAAAACAAATGACAAGTACTGCACACAACGGTCTTCTTGCCAATTTTATGCAGTGACACATGATATACCTTTGCTTTCATTTGCATAAAGAATGGCTTTCTAAAACGAAGCTGGAATTTCAGAAGTATTCTCTGCTTGTTGCTGGACTGAAAACTTTCTCATGTTTCAGCAGTCGAACTTTAATTGTAGGAACCTTGAGGAATACTTTCGTCCTCGGTCCACAATGGTTATTGCGATCGTTTAGTGTCTGGAGTAGAACAATAATTTTGAAACGAACCATCATTTAACATCAGTACTATAATAGTAATTAGCATGTGTTTATATTGTTGAGCTTACACGGGTTGATAGAGATGTTTATTCGGCTAACGTTTCAATGCCCTCGTCTTCATCAGAATCCACGATTCTTCTCGATGGTCCACAGTTGTTCCTCTTCTCAATGCTGTATTTTTGCCTCGCATCGGATCGGAACTTCCTCGGTTGAACGTCTCGAATGAGCCATACTCATGAACACATGTTGATTAATATAGTACCGAGATTAAATGACAGTTGGTTTCAAAATTATTGTTTTGTTATTCGCTGTGTGCTAGCTAACAAAATACCAACTGCTGCAGGGTGGATTATCCGTTGGAAAATAATTTATTATCGACGGATAATCATATCAACGACAACCGCCCTGTATAAAAGAGCGTCGCCGGGTGAGTATGGCTCATTCGGGACGTTCAGCTGAAGAAAATCCGGTTCGGTGCCAGGCGGCCTCGCCACATCGAAAAGGGAACGACTGTGGACCACTGACAAGGATCGTCGGCTCTGATGAAGACGAAAACGTCGAAACGTTAGCCGAATAAACATTTCTATCAAACTAGTGTTTACAGAATCCCTATGGAAAATTTGCTAAAAATTATTTTAGCTATCTCGCATCCATTCAACTAACACTGTGTTTTCACAGCGCTCTGTTGAAGATTTGGCCAGAAGTGTCCTTGCTGATAACGATGAATGGAGATTAGGCGAATCCTGTCATCATCCCTGATACATTCCTGAGTGCCTTGACCAGCGTGTACATCCCAGTCCACTATGAGCACTCTCGAATACCCGTTTTTCAACGCCTTTAATGACATTTTTCAGCCTTTTCGAAATGAAACCGTTTTAAAATAAAGTAAAAAGCTCAACGAACATACATGTTTTGCAGCAATTGCGACATTGTTAAATATACAAAAACCGCATCCTTGGTCTGGGAATGCATGGTGACCTGGTGGGCGGATAGCTGCGAAGCCAGGGTACCTTCAAAGTCAATAATTACTCACTATTCAAATTTTCACTTGTGCAATTTTATTTCTTTCATTGCTTTTATTTACTTCAATTTCAATATTTTAAACCGACTTTCCTTTAACCACGATATGACTGGTCAATACGTCTTGTTTTCTTGATAACCTTACACAAGGTTGTTATGATTTTTATTCGGATAACGTCTAGATGGTTTCATCTTCAGAAAGAGGTCTTCATCTTTTTTTTGAAGTCGCAGTCATCGAGACATTAGCCGAATAAAAATCATTTGTCAACGTCGTGTAGGCTTATCAAAGAAACAGTACACATTTTGCAATTTTAGTCTTTTTTAAACAAAGATTTTAAACCTTCTTCTTCGCTGGCTCAATTTATCCATTGTGTGATTTAATAGGGAAGTTTTACACTGTTTTAGGCACTTAAAGAAAAGCTCTCGGCACTGACCAATCTCTGAGGGGTGCGCGATGCATTCGACTTCAATAATCATCGTTTGAGGTGATTGAATGCATATCTAGCTTCTACAATGACTCGCAGAGGTCTACCAATTTGTCGAACCAGTGCTTCTATTCTTCCAGACAAATCTGAGACCAATCTACCGACCCCAGAGGGATAGAGGGCAGGTGAGCCTTGGGCGCGAGAATCGACCCCGTGTGTTTGCACGGCGCCTCCGACCAATGCGCTACACGCGCCACTCTTAGGCAAGTATGTATACGTAGATTTTGAGAAATAGGTGGAAATTTTAGGAAAATTTTATGCCTTGGCATTCATAGTAGGTGGAATTGAAGAAATGCAACCTAAAGTGATCTCCGTTGTTGTCACATTGACAATTCTTATTTTGGTTCTGAATTTAGGAAATATTGATGCCAAGTTGAGCCTTGTACAGGTCATTCATCACCCGTGTAAGAGTCTGTGCACCTAGTCTTTATCAAACTGTTGGAAGATTTATAAGGAACGAAACGGCACTGAAGAAGCCGACATTGCCGAAACGTCAGCCAATTTTGTTACTAAAAATCTTTTGTTCGTTCGACAAGAAAACACCAACTTATTGAACAATTCTGACGTTGACAGAAAGTCGACCCTGTGATTTCAGACCTAATTCCAAATGCTGGATTAACGATCCCTATGCAAGAAGATTACGTCGAAACACTTGGCGTGGACTAGTCCGTCATTGATTTCTTGGGTTGGATTTATAAGATTTATAAAAATAAGCAATACCTCCAACCAACATTTAAACGTTGCAACGTGATGTGACCACAATGATGCTGAGGTATTTTCAGAATTCAGAATCACAAGTATCACAATGTGCGAATCTCAACAATTCTTGCATTCGAATCGTTTCCTCACATTCACTATCCAAGAAGGCCTCCAAACTCTGAGTATGGTTCGGCTGATTCTTGCGGAATTTCATCTTTATCAGTATCGTTGAATAACGATCCAATCGATTATCCCTGCATCCCTATATAGCCGTTCTGGGCGTTCCGATGTGGATTGGAGGTAATGATTAGGCCTCAGACAAGCCTGGCACCAAGTTCGTTACTCCGGAGCGACGGAAGGCTGAGTGAACCCGGACCGGGGTCGAACAAGAGCTTAGGTAAATTGGGTCCTCCGGGTAATGAACGGCATAGTGACGACGATGTAACGATGAAACACTGTGCTGCCAGTTCCTTGTGGGTATTAAGTGGCCGACGAGGAGTACACTTTGTGCCTCTAGTCTTAAGGCCTGACTGGCGGACAAAAGTCACACATAACACATCGCGCGCCTGGTAAAAATAAAATTCCACTCCATGCAGTTGCTACACGGAGTCAGGCCTCTGGAGTTATGTGTTGAATACCTGCTATGTCACGTTATTACGTATGCACGTTAAGAATTAATAAGGAAATTGTGAGCCAACCCCGTTCTTGTCACCGCATCCATCAACTCTAATGTGCATCCAGCGGCTAACAGAGCAACTTGAAATGTTTGACGATTCACATAAATGTCCTCGTATTGAGAAGAGAACTCTTCCAGTTGTTCCTCAAAAACAACCCCAATACTTTTGAACAACATAACAGTAAATGCGGTAGATACACATACGACTAGTGTATGCGACGTACCTCAACCATGCTGGTCGTGTTTTTTATCTTCATGATGTAATCCTTTGTGTGCACCATTTCTATCTCTTCTTCAGAAGCCATGCGAGATGAAAGTATCTGGATTCTCGACGAGATACCCGATTTCTAGAAATATCTCAGCACTATGTTTAACGATGTGAGGACTGAAAGGATTATGATTCCGTTCTACAATCTTCAACCTTTTAATAGTTTAGTCCGATATGCTTCCCAACGATTTGCAGCCTCATCGTGGTTGGGAGGTGTTTCTAGGTGTCGCATTGCGATGTATCGCAAGGGGATTCATCCCACCGGCAGGGTCTCCCAAACTGAGGAATCCGCAGTTTCCATCAGGAAGCCCAGCTAAGAGTAAACTAATACAAGGATCCACCACCGTCCGGGTATCAAACCAGTCGCATGGTGGGAAATCTCCCCTTGATCCACAGGGATAATGACGGTCTGTGGTGGTGAAGACCCGGGGCAGACTTCGGCCAGGCTGACCTCGGGTCTTCAAAGAAGTACAATGGCTAAAACGGCAGAATTCCGGAAAACGGACATTATGCTGAGACTCGTACAACCAGTGAGAACGGGCCATCCAGTAAGTGTAGAAGTCCGATAAGTGCCGTTCTCATTTGATGTGAAACATAGAACCTGCGTGAGACAAAGTGCTAATAGACGAAAAACTGCTCCGTTATTTCCACGAAGTATTAGTATCCAACAGTTGTGAAAGAGAGAAAAAGTTACCTCCAAAGTTTTCAGGATAGTTTCAAGCCTTTCAGGAACTTCAATATGATAAGTATCCCACGGACAGTAATGTTCTAACATCGCTCGGTCGCTAATGAATAGCATCCTTAAACCAATCTTGAATTCTTAGACCTTAAAGGCCATAAAACGTAAAGAATAAACATGGGCGAGCAAATTCGAATCCACAGTTATGATTTTATCCAAAATCTCATAGGATCCACAAAACCAAGCTTGCTTTGAATTGGTACACTCAATTCTCATACCAAGAAATACCATTCCTATCGCTATAGTCCACATAATGTGATCTATAAAAGAGGCTCGTCAATCCTTCATTATACGACCTCCTACTCTTTCTTCCAGCAGACTTATTACTGTAATCTTTCAAAGAATTGTGATAAAGGGACGAATTACGATATTATGGCATCCACAAAGAGAATGTCAAACTAAAATTTTGTATTTACAATACAAATGTTATCGCAAAATAGCAATATTACGATAAATAACAGGCTATACCTCCAGGGTACGAGAAGATCTGTTCAAAAACTAGACAGATTGAAATCGACGATCAATGAAGAGTTGAGAAAAAGATGTTCGAAGAAACAAAGAACTAGCACATCTGATATAAATCTTACGATAAGTACGGTCCGAAATATACAGATCAGTTACAGAGTTCTGATGACATGAATAATCCATTCATAATAAAGAATAACTGATTGTTACCATGACAATGAGGGAAATATCTATCTCTGCTGCAGATACCACCGCCCACACAATTTCTATTGTTCAAGGGTACAAGATGTAACACGTTAAATTGGTAAAATGAAGGAAATTATTTCGAAGAGTAAAGAAAGTAAGCGTGGCTCAACATAGCTGAGTGCGCAATTTGAGGAATAGAAATGGAAGAAAAGCACTTGGACCCTAAAGCATGATGCCAGACATGCACTGACTACAATTCGTAACGACAGACACATTCAGTTTTAAATCAAAATTTCTCAACTCACACTGAACTTAACCGAAATAAAAACCACCAGAACCTACCCTATGTTAATCGATAAGATAAAAATCCCCACCACTTTATTCACATAATATTCGGCGTTTTTATAGCCGATAAAGATATTTTTGTCCACTTTTTCCTTGGGAAGGTTAGTATTCCAAGCAGCTAAACAAAAGGGGTTTCGTCCACCGAGACACAATAATGTCCTCAATGTGTCCCAGCATTTGGAAATATTGTGGTGGAAATTTAAAAAATCCGAATTCCGCTTTAGAGTGTTAGGAATCTTAATTCTATACATATTGAAAAATGGAAACGTACATTTCAGAAACTATTGAGACTACTAAGTTGTCAGAGAATTTATCATCAGTTGTCAGAAAACAAGCATCAGGCGTCATGTTAAATATATCCCACATGAGATTTTAATCACAAGATTCCGTCAGCGATATTAGCAGCTTCATTGACACCTAGTAAGAAAGGAAAGTCAAAGCAAAATGGGATTTCCAATAAACGACAGTATGAGAAGATGACCGATACGCTTATAACACGGGTAGATGTAATCAAAGCTATAAATGGAGGTTCCAATGACAAATGTGTCATTTCTACCGTCAAGCGAATGTTGTCTAATACAGGCAATCACACTGCCCATTTCTTTCACTGCATTTAGAGTGTAGAACTTGGCACTTAGCTAAAGAACGGCAGTAGCCGAGGCTGAGTTAGTATCACCGTAGTCGCCACGTCTTCCTCGTTCGTTTGTACAGTGAGGGCAATACCAGCGACCTTTAGGTGTTGACGATATATTGACGCAAGGATAATGAAACCATTGATATGGGCACTGCAATTTTATAAATGAGAGTTGATCAGAAGAAAAAAAAATAACGCGTAATGGAAAATAACAGAACATAAATAAATAGAAGAAAGTTTTCCTTGAAGAACATACTGCTTTGTTATCACATGCTACCATGTCCCCATAGCTTTTCTCATTACAAAAACACCACTTGCGTTTCGAGTCATCTGATTCGTCCTCCTCTTCAGAAACTAAAATTCAAAGAAATACAACAAAGAAGGAAAAAACGACGAAGTGGGAAATTACAAGTAAAAAGTTCACTGTACTATTATTGGAACAGTCTCATCAACCCACTATCATCATCATCCTCAGTGGTGAAATCAGGAATATGCGTGGTATCAGTACTTTTGTGGTAATGGCTATGTCGTTGGCGTTGAACCGCCTCTTTAAACATTTCCTGTACTCGCGATGTCAGCCTGAACTATCACTACTACAAAACAGAAAAAGTGAAAATTACGCCGAAAACAATGGTGTGCATCATTATAAAACCTAAGGAAAGCACTTACTTCCGAGGCCTTCCATGACGACTCTCAGGTCCAACAAATGTTGGCATAGTGGACGCTGCACTGGAACCCAACTGAGGAGATGAAGTTGTGCTCTGAACTTCACGGCAGTAGTAGGGTAATACTACCAACATCGTGAAACAATTCAAGTTTTAGAAATCATTACGTCATTACTAATGAAAAACATTCGTTTAAAGTCAACATAGTTAATACCAAGTAAACTACGACTTGCATTAGACATAATAGGCCTAATAATGGCTACCGAAGGTGTCAACGTTGAGCATGGAATGGACTCATCCGAAGCAGGAACGCCAGATGAAGGTACCCAGTCTAGAAGGATTGTAGCATATGAAAAAAGGATAGCAAAAAAAAAATATGGATTCCAAGAAAATTGTCCAACTTTTCTCGCTCGTAGCAGGTGAATCAGCACAAGCGTTTAGGCCAGAAGGAACAGAAACTGATGTCTTCAAAGATATTGGAGCTGGACGACGCTAAATATCAATTCACACACGATGTTCAGTCATACGCAACTGTACGATCAGAAGGTAGTCAACTGACTTTGGGAAGCAAAGGGCATAACGATCTAACAACATTTGACCTTAGCTTGTTTAGTGAAAACGGATTAATTCACAGGACTGCGGAATTTTCAAAGGAAATATTCTACAACAACGCCTTTATCAGCGCATGGGTAAGCCTTTAAACAGACTGTTTTATCAAATTCGCAGACTGGCGCTAATAGTATCCCTATTCTTATAATGCTTGATACTTGATACTCGAACGCCCGTCCTCACTGCTTGTGCGGGTCCCAGCACAATCTTCATTTCTCGGATATTTGCTGGTTAAGCCCTTGTGGTTCCCTGGAATTCCGAGATCAGCCAGGCCAAAGTCTGCCCCAGGTTTTCACCACCACAGGCGGTCCCAGCCCTTGTGGATTAGAGGGGGATTTGCCGCCATGGGACTAGTTTGATACCAGGACGATGGTGGATCCTGGTACTGGTTTACTCTTAACTAGGCTTCCTGATGGAAACGCCGGTCTCTTTCTCCGCTTGGGAGCCCCTGCCAGGGGAATCAATTCCCCCGCTGTACATCGCAGCCCGACACCGAGGAACACTTCCCAGCCACGATGAGGCGTTAAATCGTTGGGAGAACTCTATATAATAGCTAACTGGAAATGAAAGCTAAACGAATAAAACAGTTTTTTAAAAATTTACATGGAAAGTACATTTAACTAACCCTCATAAAATTATACTCCTCAATGGGAGACTTTTTGCTTTTAGCAGTTCCAGCACCCGATACCATAGGAGAGACAGGCTGGAAAAGCAATAGTTTTGCTCCAATTCATTCGATATAGCAATACTGAAGCGATCACAAAAACCTCATCCTCTATAAGTGTTGTAAGCTCACTGCGAGCGTAGGTGCTCAACGAGTTTCCTTCACTTGGTACTCTGAACTGCTATAATTTAACAAATTTCGTACATTTACTCGAATGGGAGAGGGGTGTCAGTTATCTCCGAGAAAGAATAATCGGAAACAAATTAAGTTTTGAAAAAGAGGTAGCAAAGGTGATTGGAAACGCCACTTTTGCACACAAACAGCAAGGAACCACAAGGGCAAGTCAGAAAAAACGATAAGCTTACCTAGGGATTTTGGACAAACATTCGGCAGAGAGGTCGATTGAGCCGTTGGTTAACCTCCTTTTCCTTTCCTTCCTCAACGCTATCAGTGATTCACAATAATTTGCAAACCCTAGAAGCAGAAATTAAGCCCGGTGCAAACAGCAAGTATCGAAAAACTACACTATCAGTGTAAACGTAACTGCAAAGTTATAGGAAAATTAGTCGGTACAAACATACTCGTTTCGATAACTTCTGTTATTCCTGGGTTATCCGCTTCCAGCTCGTATTTGAAATGAGTTTTTTCTTTATCCAAATACTGCATGTACGTTTCCAATACTTCTTGCATCTTTTCTGCAAGCGCCACTTTCATTTCTCCCAAAATCCGAAGGCGATCATATTCCTAAGAGACGTAAAAATTGATAATGCAGTAAAATTTACTATTTGATCCAAGCCTATTGCAAAATTCCGAAGCAAACCTTTTGTAATTCCTTATAACGACGTTGCTTTTGTTCTTCGGTAAGCTGCCCACCTCGGTCAAAAAAATCTATCAAAGCCAGTCGATTTTGCGCTAAGCCAGCTGAAGTACACATAGATGTGAACCTAACTCAAAATATAATCATATTTTATTATATTTGAGATATTTGCAGAACTTCGGATCGCTGGTGTCCGCTCCGAGGTGAGAACCGAACACGCTGTTAACCCTTCCCAGTGCTAACGCGTTCACCACCACACCATGCGAGTCCTTCGTTTCGCCTTTCTCTCAGCCGTGTTATTGACCTATAGGTGCCATTAGCAATCACCCGTCAACAGGACTGATCTTGAGAGCACAAATGAACAACTAACTCAGAATATTTAAGAAGTGTATGCGATACAGGAAATCATGTGTTGAAAGTTTTCAGGTTTTTCAAATTGCTAACCCACAGCGCTCTGTATTGACACTATAGTGTCCAAACGTCCTTGGCCAGGAAGACGATAATGATCACCACGGTGCCGATTTTAACTTCAGTGGGTTCCAGAAGTTTACAGCACTAAGGACACCCATTCTATTGCTAATCGAAAGCTTACCGAAATTGGTATCGTGGACCAGAAAAGCCATTCTCTACACTTAATGGGTTACAATTTCCCACCCTCCCCACCCAAAAAAACCATCCACCGGCGATATTTTGACTGACTTGCAATTAATTGCTCTTTTATTTTAACCACCACAGTTAATGTATGGCATGTGCGGATTTAAAAAGCACGGAAACAGTCTCAACAGAAGTTGCAAAGTAGTTCCAAGGATAAAGGATAAAGCTCTCGCCGTTGATCAATCCCTGTGAGATGCGCTATGCATTCGACTTCATTGAGCATCGTTCAAGGTGAGTGAATACATATCTGCCTTTACAATAACTCGCGGTGACCTGCCGATGTATCAAGCCAGTGCTTCTATCCTATCAGACGAGTCTGGTAACAATTTGCCGACCCTGGAGAGAAAGAAGGCCTAGCGAGTCTGGGCAGAGGATTGATCCCATGTGTATATTGCAGAGTGTCTCCAACAACTGCGCTACACGCCCCACTAATAGGTCGTAATGACACGTAGTAAATAGTAGTACACATCACTAACATCTATAAGAACACTCTTCTACACCCATATCATGTGCACAACCTCACAAGTACTATAGTTGTTACAGAGCTTCTACTCTCAAAAAAAGATACTAAACGCAGTACCCCCGTTATGCGTTAGCAGTTGAAAGCTTTCTTGACAACAAACCTTCAACCTGCATGTCGATATGTCGCATTTCTGTACATCTTTCTCGCAGTTCAGCAGGAAGTTCGTCCAGCACTGAAACATCGGATATTGCGGAACCCTCAAGGTGCGTCAATCCTACACTAATAACTAACTTTCCAAAAAGTCGTCTAGGAAAAGCATCCCTTCGGTATTCCTTATTGACCCCCCGTCCCTTTTTCTCCAACGAATACAAGAAAACAACAGTGCCTGAGTAAGAAAGTGCCAATACCAGGAAAACAATGAGATTAACGAGATAAAATAGAAAATACTGCATCTTGGGTGACTGAAAACCCTTGCAGATGAATAAATGAGTAAGAGGTAACCTTCATTTCTCACTAAGAACACAGTAATATCACTAATACATTAACTGAACTATCCAAAAATCGGACTTCTGACGCGGAACCTATGCGCTACTCGCACAAGTCGAATGAGTAGTTAGTGACGGGAAACCTCCTAGCTTCATCGAAAGGGAAAGCTCGATAGAAATCATAAGGATACTGCTTCGGCATCTAAAAACACGTATGTTTTGTGACAGCTAATAAGAGAACTAATGAACTTTGGGTATTCACTAAAGAAACCACAAAAACAAATGTGTGCTTGACTTACAGCTGGATTTTTCCAACGAAAGGCATTAGGATCTTCATTGCAGAACAAATACGAGAGAAAAACCATAGGCACAAGAACTCTTAGAGTAAATATGATTGCTTTCCATCTAAACAACTGATAAACAGCTACATGACATCAACTGCTCTGCCTACTAATGAACAATTTTGAAGGAAAAACATACTAAACACGTTGAATTAAATAGCCAAAGACCGAATTTCTTATATTATTTAGTTACTTGGATTCCTGAACGGCCCGTCCTCACTGGTTGTGCGGGCCTCAGCATAATCTCTACTTTTTCGGAGTTTTGCTCGTTTAGCCGGTGTGGTACCCCGAAGTCCAGAGGTCAGCCAGGCTAAAGTCTGCCCCAGGTCGTCACCACCACAGGCAGTCGCCGCCCTTGTGGATGCGAGGGAGATTTGCCGCATGCGACTAATTCGGTACCAGGACAGTGACTGGGCTTCCTGATGGAAACGCCGGACTCCTCAGTTTGGGAGATCCTGCCAGAGGAATGAATCCCCCGCTATACATCGCAGCCCAACATCCAGGAACTCCTCCCAGCCACGATGAGGCGATAAACCGTTGGGAAGATGTCGTACATTATTAGGATACAAATGAAAGACTAATTCGAAGAAAATATTCCGGAAAACCTATGAAATGTAAAACTGAAGCGAGAACATACGTAGTGAAGTCTTCGGCTTCCAATCCCGTGAACGTTAGACGGTCACCTCGATGACGTATAAAATCCATGGGTACCTCAACATGACATAAAACGTAAGCGAGAACGTAAAATAAAACAACTCCATTTGAATGAATACGAGCAGCTACCATTTCACCCCAATTTCTTCTATTTAGTCTATCGGTCCATGCTTCATAGGGGTCCTTGTGGTCGTAGGTAACAACACCCAAGTCGGGATAATCACCGGCATAGCGTACAACGTCGTCTGGATTCATTGGTTTATAATCTTCTAGTCGAAGACCATACCTAGGATATAATTTGTAGGGAATAAATGTACTTGGATCCACTAAAAATCCGTACGAATTAAGTTTAGGCACAATTTAACCCTAAGGTTTATACAAGTTTTAAATGAGAAATGGCAAAAGTGACAAACTTTATTGCTGCAGCGCGCCGCTCTTCTTCAGTCATGGCATATGGTCCAGGCTTATGATCACGTGGATACCAGCCAGGAAACGTAAGAGGTCCACGTACTAGAAAAGATAACGCGAATGAACAAAATTAATTTAAGAGAACGAAGACCATCCAGATTAATTCTGAAAGAGGTTACGTAGATATCCTGAGGTCTTAAACAAAACGGAGTCACATAAAGCCTGATAAAGGTACTAGTAGAGATATATTTAAGCCACTCACGCGAAAGAACACAAGAACTATGGAGCGATCGGCGGGAGAGTTCCCTCAGTGGGGGTGAGAACATGCCGTAGTTAAAATATGTTCTGAGAAGCCTGGAAAAATCTCTAATAGTTCTTCGCGATGGCAGAAAATAACACTTGGACTATGTGGTCATATTTATGCGGCATTTCACAACACAATGCCAATTAATAACAGCCTTAGCACTAACGAACGAATAAATACAACTCCCAGTGAATAATAGACGTTAAAGAAAAACTGGTGGGAAAAGAAGTCGAAAAACAAATAGTAAACGTATTTACCGTAATCGATATCGCAGTAGATCACGGAGCAACTTCGCAGCTGATCAGCCGGCCGGCACGCAGCTCGCACCAGGGCCGCGGCGCGTTCGCGGTGCGTCCACAACAGGCCTCGGGACGGGAGGTGACGAGAATCCGACGACCAATGTTTACGGACGCTTCGTCGCTTGTTGCAGACCCTGCTGTTGTGATGGTCCGTTGAGAAAAAAACCCCCGTGTCGGTAGATGCAAAAATTTGCCGACCGCTGGTTTTGCATTGCGTTGTTATGTTTTTGACTTCCAAGAGCCATAAAAATTAGAAACTTGTTTTTATAAAATAAAAGATAGCCATAAAATGAGACAAGGTTTCAACACAGTTTTATTTTATGGATTAAGCTGGGGCCTTGATTTTCCAACCACGGTGCTGGTTCGATCTCGTCCCAGGTTCACCAGGTGTCGTCTCATCATTCCGCGGTTGTGGAATTGGTAC